TCATCCTCTTAATCGACTGTAGAATCAACATACCAATATCAACAATCGACCCTTCGTATATTAACCCAGTTCTTTCCAAATCAAAATTATCGATCATCAAGAACAAACACATGAACTCCAAAAGCTTCAAGGCTTCGTTTGTTTGATTGAAACCAAAATCATCGTCGATTTAACGAAGCATCAAAATCTTATTTCAAACCACCGACTCCAAATCATCGACAATCAACCTAGGTTTGCGAAATTAACCTCTAATCTTAACCCAAATCCAATCATTAACCCTTCGAATTTTTGATTCAAGAACTCAGCAACAATCGAACAAATATCAAACCAGACTCCAAACTTTCGAAATCGATTTCATCTCCTTCGAAATCATTCAATTTAACCATCATCAATCAAATTTTCCAAAACGATTTCACTTCTTTCGTTTATAAATCAGATCAACGAATCCTCAAAAATGAAATAGAATGTGCGATTTCTTAACCGACTTAAAACAAGAACAGGAAAAACGAAAGCGATTCTGGATTTACTAACAACAAATACAAACTTCAAATTTCGATCTCATGTGCAAACTTAACAGTTATTGATTTCAAAGGTATTTTCCAAAATTGAAATCAATCGGAAACCTAATTGTTTCAATCAATATCAAACACAATTTCAAGAATTAGAAAAAGAAACGAAGTTCGATTATAAGCACTAAACTCAAGTGTTTGTCAACAATTGAAATCATCTAAAAGATCTGTGAATCAAATACGTCTCCAAAGATGAAAACTCATACAATTTTGACTTTTGAATCAATACGATCAACAACGAATATGATTTAAATCGAATTAATATCGATCCAAAAAAAATTGAATTAATATGGTATTGGGCTTTGAAATCATAAGAATGAACAGTAATAGAATATTTTTGATTTGGGCTCGAATTTGGATTTATGAACAGTAACAAACATTGATTAAAACATTTGTTTGGGCTTTTCAATTCAATCTGATGAACAGTAAAATTGATTTTGTTTTTGGTTTGAATTTGATCTAATCAAAAATTAATTGGATCATCAATGGGGTTTTTCAAGAAAAATTTGATCCAACGAGTCAAACGATCACAAATCAAAAAACGCAACGCACGATTTCAATGAAATTAAGAGAGATCATAGAGAGAGACTCACCAAAAATTCTTCAATTGTGACAAATGTTGCCAAACCGAGAATCATTCTTCAAAAATCACTTTGATCTTGAAGACCCGCTCTGATACCAATTGTAGTGATTATAGAACATGGTTTGGCATGCGGAATTAAAGATTGCACAATGAACATGGTGATTTCGGTGTTCAAGAGATGTATTGATTATGTATTGTGTTACAAAAATGGATCTAGATCTAGTCTACATAAATAACACACACTTACACACTCAACTTTTACACCTCTCAAGCACACCTCTACAAGTGGAATAAACCCACCTTATATAGAGGTGTTTACATGTCTCTCTCTCACTCTCTATCTCATGAGTCATAAGGCTAATACACCACATGCAAGTGGGTCTACAAAAGTCAAACATTACAAAGTCATTCATGGAAAACTTTGTACCCCAACAACATCACAAAAGGATATTGCATGTAAAGTTGAACTCTAACACATTTAGTAGTAACAAGAATTTGGAATTATGAAATGAGCATCATTGGAAAGGTGTCCAGTCGATCTGTTCACAAAGGAAGGACCATTGAGAAACATAGTGTGCATGTTCCTAACATGGCTTGACTAATGTTTCATTCAAGTGTTTACTTGATTAATCGAAACATTATACAATGAATAAATTCTAATTAATATGCTGATTAAATAATCAAAGTTTTATTTATATTCAATACTCTTGAGACCATAGTTAGTTAGGTTATTATTGTGTTTCATTTCACATGTTTTACTTCCCGAATAATTGGATTATTCAAACATCCACAGTCGATCGTACTTTTGGAAGTAAGTAGCAAATTAAGACGGTCATGAATTAAATTTTAGATTGTCTATGGAGATTAGACATGGCAATGGTTTTGCTGCAATGTTCATGAGTACTTGGAAATGGGGATTTTAAGTATTGGATAAACCCACGCTCAAAGAATTACTTCATGGATTTTAGCACGAGTAATTTTTAGACGATAATATCTTATATTCTTGAAATGGAGATATATGAGTTGTTGTTTACAAGTCGGTTGTGCATTGATAATACATAAATACATCAGTAACTTGATGTTATAAAACGTATTGTTGTGAGTGATTTGATGAGTGAATAGTGCAAGCATATAAGTCGAAGTTTATCCGTTCCTTTTTGCCCTAACGGGAAAAATGATATCAGTGGGCCCCTCGATGATTTGATGTCGAGATCTAAAGTGGTTGGCGAAGCCTGGACTGAATTGATGTGTTCAATTGGTAGTTTGATTTCAGTCGTCATAAATAAGAAATCGAGAAACAAGTATTGGACAGAGAGATTGATTATAATCCATGTCTCATGTCTATACGATATCTTGTAGAACGTAGGAATATTTGATCACTTATCTTAGGACACATATCTGACTAGGTCAGAGTTCGTCAGCTGCTTTGAGAGCTACAATTTGCTAATCAATTTTTGAAGTTAGACTGGCAACTATAGTTATTAGACTTATCCAAGTGGGAAACTGTTGGATTAGGTGTTGAAGCCCATAACTATAATTGGTATATACTTGAATTCATAGTAGCACAGTCCTTTTGGGTTGCCCTCATAACTAGCAACTAGACATGATGGTTTTTGGAGAGAGGTTAAATTTATTATTTGAATAATAAATTGAAATAAATGATTTATTAATGTATTATGAAAACAATATATTAATTAGAAATCATATTATTTAATTAATAGTTAATCAGAAAGTAACTGGAATTAATTTTGGGATTAATGGTATTAATTAAAAGTGCAGGGGATGTTTAGCAATTTATTGATAGTTGAGGAATTGGGCTCTAGAACCTCCCTAGAAGGGTTGGACGAAAACGTCTAGGAAGGCCCTAGAGTTTTCGTTCAAGGCCTCTTGGATGGGAGTTCTTGGGATGCTTAGGCCTTAAGCTAAGGGAAATAGGGTTTCCTCCTAAAACCCTTGCTTTGGCTCTAAGTTACCTCACTATATAAAGGGCTTCACCCCTCCACAATTTCGGCCACCACATCCCTAGAAAGATAACCGAATTTCTAAGAGCTTCTCCCCTCTCTCTCCTCTCTCATCCTTTTGCTAAGGTTTTGGGTGTGATTCATTAGAGGTGTGACACTTGTGACACTTGCTCTCAAGCTTCAAGAACTCTTGGATTCACATTGTTATTACTAAATAAGAATAAAAGGTATGTTTACTATCCTATGTTATTAATTTCAAAAATAGTATACACCTTTTAGGGTTTTTACTTTTGATGTTCAATACTTGTTGTTCAGTTAGAGAAAACATATATCTAAGATATTAGTGTTGCATTCACACATAGGGATTGTTTGTTATGCTCAAAACCCATCAGATCTGATTAGAGTGGGTTACAGAGACTTATGCACTATGATTTTAAAAAAACACAAAACAAGCAAGCATAAGGGAGGTACAAAAGATTCATTCCATATATAAGCAGTACAATCATATAATCGAAAATGGCATAAAAAGAATTTCCTTTTTGACCTACACTAAGTAAATCACTCTGCATCGGTAGCCAAGCCAGTGTCCTCCAAATGCTCCTTCAGTAGACCCACATACATGTTGTCGGTATCTAGCATTTTGAAAAAAGGATATTCATAACTGGTAAGATTGGAAAAGCATTGCAGTATAACTTCCTAGGCATTCAGATGAGAGTATAAAACCTCGTTCCCTTCAAGCTCTGTCGAATATTTATTTTTCATCTCCAAGAAGGCACAATGTAGGCCATGCTCAATGGTGACAAACTGAAGGGCGGTATTCATAGTGCTGAATACCTCAGAGTTTAGCAGATATCGAACCGAAGATGATATTCCCTCACTTAGGACCCAACGAAGCTCTCCATATCTCTTTTCGGCCAGGTGTTGGTGAAAAATAACCTCCTGATTTGAAGTGGAAGACTCAGCCTACATTTCCTCGCAACAGGCTGTTTGATCTTTCAGCTTAAGCTCGCACTCGGCGAGCCTCTCCCGAAGCTGACTAATCTGAGTTTCTTCCTCAGAACAGGCCAAACCCAACTTAAAGTTTTGCTTAGTAACCTCCTCTAATTCTATGGTCAGGGCACCATGGTGGCCACTTTCCTTACTAATTATACTCTTAAGCTCAATGTTTGCCTTTTCAAGTTCCTCATGGTATTGGGAATACTGATCCAACTCCCGAAGAAGGCGGTCGTTCTCAGTGGAAAGATCTTATCTTTCCTCGGCTAGCACTATATTTTCCCTCTCCAAGGCATGGTAATTCTCCCAGATATCCTCTAGAAGCTCGGAAGCCTTCTAAAATTCAATACGCTGCAAAGAAGAGGTAACAACCCTAGCCTTGCTTCGTAGAGAGACCTCATTCATCCAATACAGACCCTCAAGGATGTGAGTGTTGGCCTTATACATTCCTTCCTCATGAGTCTTATCTCCTAAGGTAGGAAACTGAGAGAATTTAGTATTAGTAAAGGGATGAAGGAAGGGTGGCAATGAAGACACTACTGACAGCAAGACCGGAACAAATGTCGGCATAAGGGTTGCAATACCACCTGTAAACAAATTGAAGTTACTCCTATAAAAAAAGAGGGGGAATAAAGTAGGGAAATAATACTTGCTTGTATTTGGAGGAGGAAGAAGTCCACTAAAAGAAAAATTAGGACTTGGACCGGTAGAATCAAACTCCATTGTATCCACATCAGGAATAAAAGTATCCAGGTTGATAACGGTGGCATAATCCATCATAGGTTCAGTGGAAGAAGGAGTAACGGTAAGAGCACTGGTGGAAATCATAGGAGCAGAAGTTGGTGTAGAACCTGGAGGAGAAAAAGAACCGAATAGTTTCTGTTGAAAGAGGCATTAGGCAAGTTCACTCCTACGATACCGAGCCTTGGAAGTGGAACCACTAGGGAGAGGCATAGCGGTAGTGACGTAGGAGTTCAACTGAAGTGCAATTAATTTAATTGTAGCTTCGGAATATTGATGGGGAACCTCAAGAGAAGACAAAATAGCATCTACTACGGAAATCGCCGCAGGTTCGGAAGTTACTGAACAGTTGTGGAGTGCTTTTCCAGATAAGGAAAGGTCAGGTGGTGGAAGGCCAAGTACGGGGTGTAAAACCCCCTGGCCCAGACCAGGAGAAGAGCGTGAAGTGTGCATTTTATTAGGGGAAGATCTGGGGAAAACACCACCAATGGCTGAAGAGTCGGACAGTCTTACCTTATGCTTGGGGTGTTCGGTAGAAGTAGCACTGGAAGCTCCTTTCGACGAGGGGTACGGAGGAACCAGTGTAGGTTTATGATGAATACTCTTAGAAGACAACAATGCGACACCAGTAGATTTTACCGGACTATCAGGGATAGTTGAACCCCGAATCACCTCAAACTCACCCCCAACATCTACATCCAAAGGAGGATCGGACTTATTGTTAGATGAGTTACCCATTTTTACGATCTTGGACTAGCGGTTCCGATGAAGGTGCTCCAAAAGAGTAAGATTATCACCCCCCCCCCCCCTTACAGCGGGGTCTGCGGTTGTTACATGAGACCCATAAGTACTAACTAGGTTATCCAAGCCTAGAATTGATTCCTTAGGGTCGGACCAAACAAGTTAGTTGGCTATGAGCCTATTGACGACGTCGTGCTCAACATCAGTTATTTCAGGAACATAATTTAGATCCTAATTCACCAAGTTCCCAAATTAAGTACACCCAGCTATGGATGAAGCATCAACAAAGAAAAACTCTTATTTCCACTTTTTGATGGAACAAGGGAGACCGTCGTATATGTCAATCCCTCCACGAAGGAGGGAGAAAGAGACCCAATCATTGGTAATCATGGGCACATACAGATATCGAAAGATGGAAAAAGAAAGAGGAATATTTAAGGCTCTGCACAACAACCCAAAACAGATGATCTTCTGGAAGCCGTTGTGAGTTATTTGGGTGATATGAACCTTATAGTAATCAAGGATGGTCCCCAAGAAGGGAAAAGAAGGAAGTCGCAGGCCCGATATGAAGAAGATAGAGTACACTCCCACACAACCTAGTGGGGGTTGGTGATGGTTTGATTTAGAGATGGAAGTTGAGGGCTGAATTAAGGGTCTATACGAAAGGATTTGACTAACTTGTTCAGTTGATTCTGAGTAAGAACTGATAAGGTATTATGAATTCGGAAGCCATCCTTAACCATGATGAAGAAATTAAGGCTTTAAGATCTCTACAATGGATAGCGAAGAAAGAAAGAAGGAGCATAAAAGAGTGAGCAGGTGAAAGGGAAGCGGTTCCTTGTCCCTAGTTTTATAGGAAGTAGTGGGCGATGATGAGGTGACAGTTGCGGTGTTACAGGGGAATGATGAGCGAAATAAATGGGTAACTATCTAATCAAATACCAATGGCCTAATTAGGACTTATACGTTTCTCAAGAAAGTCTCAGTCATACAAGGGCTAGTTCGAATTGCCACTCACCAATTCTAAGTATGGAGACTTAATGAAGTATATACCTGGTTACCGAGGTATGTACCTCTAAATTACATTCACGGAACCGAGGCATGATTTACCGAGGCATGATTTATTGAGGCATGTATCTCCAACCCAGATTTGGAGGACCAATACACGATTTTCCTTGCTCTGCCTACCGAACCAGGAAAAGGAAGTAAGGTTAAGAGAACAAGCGTTACGTACCAGCAATGGGTATACAACTAATAAACCTTACAATGGTCAGGCCGTACATTACTTAAGGCCACTAACAGTTCTCCAGTAACAAACTGACATAACTGTTGACTCCTCTTTAGTACCATTCTCGTACGTTCGGCAACGAGAGCATTCTCTCGAGAGCATTCCCGATGAAAGACTCACTTGTGTGTTGTTATCTCAATATTCATACCTTCTGAAATATCGACGTTACAAGATCACCGAGGGCTGGAATCCGGATACGCATCATTGATTAAGTACTTAATCAGTTAAGTACTAGATGTGAAGTACGAGATGCCCTAATGAAATAAAGAAGTCGATTTTCCATAGGACAAGTATTATGTGATGAGTTACATAATTGAGATAGAGAAGTGTAGAAATATGATTTCTTTGACAATAAGGTTCCTTTGGGGATAATAGTATGATTCCCTCGGGAATGAGATAAAGGTTCCTTCAAGGACAAGAGTAATTTATTTCTTGTATATTCCGTGTTGCTTATTTAATAAATAGATTTTTATTGTACACCCATGATTAACCATGGATTTAAAGTGTTTTAATTTTTGTAGAATTCCACAATTATAGATAAAACTATGATAAATTCCCATAAAAGTATTTGTAAAAAATATGGGTTATTACAGTTGATATCAAAGCCATAGTTTAAGTGAATTAAGTTTGGTGTATCCATTCTTGGTCTTAAACTGTGGAACATAGATGAGAAATACAGGTTATGGGTTGGTTTTTTTTAATAAACTATGCTAAGATATGTAAGGTGCACAGATAAATATGTGTGAAGATAAAGGAGCTTGAGAGTATGAGTTTAGTAGAATTACCAGCCAAGAGGGTTTGGCTCTAGAACTCCAAGAAGAAAGAAAGAAATGTCATTTATGAAATGACATAAGAGTGAGATCTCTAGTTGAAGAGATTACATGAGTATGTAGAAAGAATGATATTGTCATATCTTTAAAGAAAGATATGTTAGAGATGATGTGTCCTTGTAGATAGACAACAGATTAAGTATGTGTTCCTAGGAAGAAGTGTTAGTAGAGACTCAGAGAGAATAGGGACAAAAAGAGGGACATAAAAATATGAAGATAGAAAAGGACAAAAAGAGTAAGAGGGATGGTGTGCCCAAAGAATGAAGAGAAAGATAGAGAAAGTCTGTCATAGAAGGACCTTAGAGTCGAAGATGTGTAGTTACGAGTACAAGAGTAGATTGGCATTTCTTGCAAGGTAGTAACCATGTAGAGAAGAAAGTCTATTTTCATATGGAATGTGTTTGAGATGTGATGAGTAGAGCTTGAACCATGTCATTGATGATATAGTGATAGTACTGACCAGAGATAGATACGAATGGAAATGAGATAGATATGTAGATAAAGAGAAATAGTGCAACAAGTATCATGATGGACAATTAAGAGAAAGAGAGGGACAGTAGAAATGTTCCAATGTTGATGTGTTAAGATATAAGGAACATGAGAAGACGGTTCAATACTTTTGTGGAAGTAAGAGATAGAGCATGCAGAGTAAGAGGACACTTGGGCAATAGCAGGTGTAGCTCCTAAGGTGAGAAAGATGGACCTATGAGATTATGTAGATATGTATGTGTTATGTAACATTTTACTTATGAATAACTGTTAGAGAAAGAAGAAGAATTGGACCTTATGTGTAATAAGGGATAATTAGAGAAATATTATGAAGATAGATAGAAAAGTGGAAAGAAAATGGACTTATGAGAAGAGTATAATACTGGGTGAAATGTCCTAATAGAGAATGAGATGACTATGTGTCATCTAGAGATGAGAAGTTAGAAACATTGGGGATGTGTGACTCCCGATGTGAGAGAAAAGTATGCTTGGCAAGATACATCTTTTGATGTATCAAGCATAGATTTTATAAGAAGAGGCAAGGAAGTCACATCAACTGGCTTGCTAGTAGTTGAGGAATAAGGAAGATGCATACCCAAGAAATAATTTCAGGTTGAAAAGTTTGGGTTATGAGAGAAGAGATAAGATAGTTATGAATCAGGTGATGAAGTGGTGATATTGAATCTTGGTAAGTATGTTGTGTATGCAGTGTATGGTCACTGCAGACACATGGTGATTATTCTGGTTCAATGGAGCCATTAAGTTGCCTGAGGATCAAGTGGATTAAGAAGAGAAGTGCTAGCATGGTAAGTTGAGAAGAACTTCCCATGAAATATATAGAATACTTGTGAGTGAGGGAAGTGAATGGTGATATTGAAACTAAGTAAGTATAGTATGCATACAGTGTATGGGCACTGTAGAAACATTGCACTTATGGTGATTCAATTGAATCATTCAACTGCCTAAGGATCGAGTGGTAGGACAAGAAAGATAACATGGTGTTTGAGAAGAAGTTTCCATGTTTAGAATAGACTTGGATGCCTCAGAAGTAGTAGAAATATAGATGTGAAAGTTGGGGCACGAGAACTAATATATTTTTAAGAAAAGAGTTGTAGTTAGATACAACACTTTAGAATGAAAGTGAAGTGATTAAGTGTAGTACTTCATTAAGAATGTAGAAAAGATTTAGAAAAGTGGTGGTGTGGCAATATGGAGTAGAAAGGTTCAATGGAAGAGCAATGTAACCGTAACTTACCTAAGAGTAGATGATTAAGAAGTATATTGGTACGCTTGTCAGAAACAGAATTAGAAAGGTAAGTTTAAGCTTATGGTTGTGAAAAAATGGGACAAAACACAAAATATGATGTTAAGTATGCAATATGATTGCATAAGGGTAGATATAGTAGTAGATGTCCCTTAACGGCTATTGGGAATAGATAAATGAGGAAAGTTTGGCCATTGCATTGAAAAAGTAAAGGAAAGGAAAGTAGAGTGTTATTTTGGGTTACAAGGTTAGAGTATAAGATAACCTTAGAAATGAGCCAAATAAAGAGGAATTATATAAAGAAAGTAAGAAAAGGCTCTGAGGATGAAATCTCTTTAAGGATGGTAGATTGTAAGAACCCAAAATTTAGAAACATGTGACTTTGACCAAAAGAGAAAAATGGTCATTGATGAGGAATTTGTGAGAATATGAAGTTGTGACTTCATGAAATGGCCAATATGAGAGTTTAAGTCACTTAAAAGAGGTAAGATGAGTAAGTTCAAAGAATGCATGAGAAGATGCACTTTGGCCAAAAGACAAAAATAGGTATTTTATGCTTTTTGGGCAAGTTGGTCACTTAATAGATTAAGACCCATGTTAAGACAGTGATAAATGACATAACAAAGTTTTAGAGTATGTTCCCACCTCCGCATGGATATAAAGATCATAGAAAATGGGTTAGAAACGAAGAAGTTATGAATGTTAGAAGTTGGAACAAAAATTATCCCCAAAGCTGGAATGGAATCAACAAGGCACTTTGTTGATCTCCGGGTACTGCAGCACGATATATAGCTCGCCAAGACGCAGTGGCATCTGTGAGCTGCCATTTACCGAAGTCAAATGGCCACCACGACGCGGTAAAGACCTCACTGCGACACGATGTCGCAACAGATGTAAAAGTTGTTAAGCCTTCACTCTAGTTATTTAACACCCCTACCCCTTTGGAGCTGAGCTCCAGTGATTCCGGGATGGGAAGAAGATCAAGTGGCGATTAAGGGTGTTTGTGGCTAGGATTGAAGGTGGAAAGCTCATGAGGTAATCAACTTCTCAATAATTAAGCTAATCAGGGCTTAATGGTGTTTTGATGAATTGGTTAGATTGCTTAGGTTGATTAACATATAGATTA